ATCCTCGCACTTTCACCTTTATTTTGATGTAATGGTCGATGTACTTTGTTTGAGTTAAGTACCCAAGAATGCAATTTTAGTTTATGCTCACACACGCTCCGCCCGGCCGGCGGCGCTCTAGGGGACCGGTGCTCGTAGCGATCCTGGCGGCCGAAAGTTTCAGTCGCCATCCTCATTCCGGCGGGAGCGCGGAGAAGACTCCACGGAAGAACAAAAGGGTCCGTGACTCGCCTAGCGGCGCCGCCCACCATCTTCCCGCTGTGGAGGGGGACGCCGCTCGGCGAATCACGGACCCTTTTGTTCTTCCGTGGCGTCTTCTCCGCGCTCCCGCGCCGGAATAATCTATATTCGTCCCTCGCGAGGTGGGAGAAAAATGGTTCGGACAAAACCGAGGTCGGACAGCACTTTTGGGGATTTTGGAAAAATCGCCAGGGCGGAGAAAAATAGGTCGGGCAATATAAATACACCCCAGAATGGCAGGATGTGACTGGCTACCATAAATTTTGATTTCTTTCCTGCCTGACCGGATGAGCAATAGAGAAACCCACTTCTCCGTCTGGTTGGAAAATAAACCTTTTCTTAAATGGAAAATGAATTGAGCTAGCGACCTTCTTTAACGGTTTCCTAAGGGGTAACCCATCACTTTTGGGCTTATATTTTTTCTGTTTTGCTCCATACCGTTGCGGCGCAAGAGGGAAGTTTTGAAAAAAGGAAAAAAAAAAAAAACATTACGGAAAGAATATAACATTACACGTTTTGTGTACTTGATGAAAGTCAACTTCCAAATGTTAACTTCAACCTCTTATCCGAAATTTGGACTTCTTTGTTTACACTTAAAGTGACTTTTGTTTAGTAAAAGTAAGTTAAGTTTTTTCCTATTGGCGCATGCCAAGTCGTGGAAATGGGTCTCAAATTGAAAAGTGAGGGAGGAACGACTCAAAGTACCGTCCGACCTAGGTTTTGTCAGAACTAATTTTCTCCGACCTTCGTTAACGTCGCGGTCTTTCTCTCTCTGCACTTACTTAGAGTACCCCTTCATGGCCTCTCAAGCCAAGCCTGGCGTCTTTGAAGCACATTCTTCAATAACTTCAGCATATCGACGAGGTTGAAAAAATTTCGGTGGAACAAAACCTAGGTCGGACAGTACTTTTGGGGATTTTGGAAAAATCACTAGGTCGGAGAAAAGTAGGTCGGAAAATCTAACTGCAGGTACTTTGGTTCTTCGAGATATCAAGAAACCGCTCGGTTGAAATGGTTTATTGCTCTTGTTGATTAGTAGATATGTCCACTGTTCACACCGCTCATATTTCACTGTTTGTGAAATACTATCTACGCGAGCTGTATATTAACATTATATTGCATTTTCAGATTGATTGCTCGTACAATTTATGTTCAAACGAACACATGTCATAGGTTCCAAAATCATAGAATTTTCGGAACATGAAAGTTAACGTCCTTTTCAGTTTTGTAAATGAGCTCTAGTTGCGGAAGTTTCTGCTGTAGTTGCATCAATGTTCTCCATGATTGGCGACATAGTGCTCTCTAATTCTGTGAGAGCACTATGTGGTGTAGCCGCGGTTAGCTCCTGCGGAACAAAGAATCAGGGTTCAGTTATTCTATCTAATTACAATGTATACAATATTACTGGCACCTGTACCATAAGGGCTGCACACTAAACCCGTATGCACTTCATTTAGCATAAACATGTAGTATTTAAGCAGCCATAGTTATGCACCAAACGTCGTGCCTAACTGTGCAGTGATTGTAAATGAAAAGGCAATAACGTATGCATATTGGATTTACGTTACGATTATAAAATATTGAAATATTGAAGAGGGCACGACGTATTTTCACGGTGTGCAGCCTATACAGGTCGTCGTGTCGTTTGTCTAAAACAATACACCAAAAGATTTTTAAAGTCATTAGGACTCTGGCTTTGGCGTCAAGTAGTATATCTACAATCAGTTTAGGTTGCTTAAAACGCAACTTAGATATTTGCTTACTGAGATTATCGGGCGTAACCAGAATATTAAAAAATCTAAAAGAACCTTTGGCAGCCTGTTTTAGACCAATGACAACCTCCGGCACACAGCGTGACAGGACTGCAAAGCTGCAGCGCCGTTTTTAGCTCTGCTTTGGATGGACGTTTTTCCTTGATAAATATTGTGTTTTATAGGCAAAAGTCTGAGCTACCAACGGTACTCAGTTGTATTCGAGAAATTATAAATTGTTTAAGATTAATCACCCAAGACACAAAATTTTTCGTCGTGCTTCACTAGGAGGCCTTTTCTTTAATTATACCGTATTAACGTAGCTAAAGAAAGACATACAGTAACGAATTAGTACAAAAAATGTGTTAAACATTTCGTTTGATAATTGAATATAAAACGGTGTCATTCAGACCCCTTTGATGCTTCTTTTAGAAAATTTTGCTAAGTTCAAATTTTTATTCGGAACTAGCAAACCAGTTCTGACTTGAGATCAAAGACATGATTTTCAAGGTGGTAAGTAACTGGACTTTCGTACCTCGGGGCGAGCTGTAAACTGGCGGATCCAGGGGATGAACTGCTCCACATCCGTAAATGTGTGGACTGTGTGGTTGTCGAAGCTCGTTGAGACGATTCCCACAAGGAACCACGAGGATCCCCGCAGAACCACGGCCCCTCCGCCACTGTCGCCTCGCGCCAGCCCCTCCCGGCTCGAAAAGGTGAGTTCTGCGAACAGTTTCCAACGTTTTCAATCAGTGTCCTAGCATCCCGTCCAAAGAAACCATTGACACTGATGAAGACAACCTCTAGACACCAAGGAGCACTATAGAGCAAAAAGTACTCGAGACGAGCTAGAAACATCGTCTCTAGAGTGCAATTCAGGACCGCGAGCAAATCAAAAGAGTAGCCACTGCACCGTGTGTCTCTAGTGCCCGCTCTCGCCCTTGATAAGTGGATCAGTAGGTGGTCTGTTTTTCGCCCCCACCTCAGAGTATTATATCAAACCTAAACGTGCAATCTGTTTCTTCTTACCTTTTTGTCTAATTGAACAGATTTTGTCTCTTGTTATCCAGGGTAAGTGCCTGCTGGACGTTTCTCTTACGTGAGTGACACACGATTCGTACGGTACGTAGCTCAAGCTGATCGATGCAAGTTCCGGTCGAAGCGTGTCCCCGTAACCCCAACCAACGATCTAGAAAGTTAAAAACATAAACTATCAGGAATTACGGAATGCTATACGTACGGCATGCGCTGGGGTCGATACATGCAACAAGTACCTGCATAGGCTCATTGACTTTAAGGCCCACGTCGTCCTCGATGCATACAGGAGATATGGCTCTTCCAAAGTTAAGAATCTCATCCTCCATACGAAGCAAAACTATGTCATTAGCATAGTTTCCTGGTTGACCTTTGTAGGTGTGATGGATCGAGATCTCTCTGATCTGCAACACAAGTAACAGTATTTCACCTGACGCAAACCGGATCCAAAGAAGAGTAGCAGTTCTTCACCCATACCTCCTAGGTGCTGATTGGCCGACCAGGTCAACCGCGCTTGCGCTTGCGGCCAGTTAAGTTGACGTCAGCCAATCAGTGCAAGAGAGGAATGGGTTCAGGAAGAACTGCTGTTCTATTTGGGATCCGGTTTGCCTCAGAAGAAATACCTATTGGCTGAGTCCTAGCCAAACCTTACTCCCTCTGATCGGGAAAAGAACTTTTTTGTCAGTCTGCACAATAATTCGAGAACGAACAGAGCTAGCAATCTAGCACAAAAGTAGACCTTTTCGACGGTAGGGTGAGAGAGGAATAGGGAGTAACGTGGCTCAAAACTTTTATCGCGTGCAACATCCCGTGTGGAATGGATCCGGATAAAAATCGGGTAAATTTGGTGTTTTCAGAACACCAAATTGATACTAAATGTACACGATATATACACCATAAATATACACCATAT